CTACATCGCAGGCAGCCTGCATCGTGGCGTCGTCGCATAGCCGCGCTCGTTTCGGTGCGGCATCAGAGACTCGAAGGTTGGCGGTTCGAATCTCCGTCGAGCTGAAATTTATCACGGGCCACAACATACTGAGTGGCCTTGAACCAGTCATTTCACCACGCCTCTTTTGTGGGGTTCCTACGAGCGGGCGCGCTACCGACTGAGCCGTAGAGGCGAGATACGGGCTGACGCTCCAGGGAACGATCGATTCTACGCTGTCGCTGACTGCTAAAAAAATTGTAAGTGTGAGGAAATATTTTCTTTTGTTCACACAACATGGGAACAACATATCTAAAGATGGCGGTAACTTTTTTGACCAATACCTATTATGTACACGCGTCGTGCGCATAAATGGCAAAAAAATTATTGGCACGCGGATTGGCGTGAGCATAACACAGTTAATGTTATGTGCACGCGCGGAATTCAAACGCCCAGTGGAACAAGGGGGGGGGGGGATGATAGACGAAGAGGCTGATTCAAGAAGACTGGCCCTCAGAGTGTTTTTACGAGGTTCGGGTTCGAGTCGAAGTGTGATCAGGGGAAAAGTGCGTTCGAATAACGTAATTGCGACATTCTGCACGACGCGTGCGCATAGTGAAAACATAGAAAATCTGCACGACGCGTTTGAATAACTCTAAAACTGTTATGCGCACGCGGAATCAAAATTTCCAACATGTCAACAACAACGTATGTAAGGGGCTGCCTGCCTACGTCAATTCAATATTGCATTTCTCACTCGGAACCTGAGCGTGGCGCCTGCAAAACTCTGGGTAGGCCACTCCGCAGTACACGGATGCAATGCAGACGATATGTTGCCTACCCACCAGGCGCTACGAGAGCTTGCTTCTGTCGGTCACCTACCGACACCGACGATTGTCGCTGCTCTGTACAGGATCGCGCTCTAGGGGTCGCAAACTCGTGGCTCGCGGCGAGCCGCGCAAACTACTGCCAGCGCACTGTTGATCGTACGCGTTCACAAAAGCCATAGATTTATGAAAATAACGTTTTGTTGCAAAAAAAATGCGCTGGCCGGGAGTCGTACACCAGACAGTTTTAGACTGGGCACAATTGAGCAACCTCAGCAGCCACAGAAGTGAAGGAGAAAAAATATATATCTGCCCTAGCCGGGAGTCGAATCTCGGGCACACAGTTTGACACGACCACGATTTAGCGCGCTCGGCCGCCCGCCCGTCTTCTCCACTGCGCGTTCAAAGTCGGCCCTGTATTCCGAGAGACAAGGAGCGACGCCAGTCAGCGACAGCGTAGAATCATTCGTTCCCTGGGGCGCTAGTCCGTTTCTCGCCTCTATGGCTCAGTCGGTAGCGCGCCCGCTCAGAGCGCGGGAGGTCGGTGGTTCGACTCTCCGTGTGTCTGAAATTTTTCTCAGGCCACCAAATTTCAAATGGACCTCAAACCCGTCATTTCACCACGCCAGTTTCGTGGAGTTCCGATGGCGTAGTGGTTACCATTGTTGGTGGCACTGCGTCATAGGTGGCTAAAGTGTCGGCTCTGGGCCGGGGTTCGCGCCCTGGTGCCTGCCACCTTGCTATGGTAGCGGGGTGGATAATAAGACCTAGAAACTGGCTGAAAA